GTCCATAGTAAATTCTCATTTTGTAGTGTACGCTTATGGTAGTCATGGTAAATATCAAGTATGGTGGGTACTCAGTTATAGTTAAACGTTCGTAATTTGTTCCAAACTTTCACTCATTGTCTGGAGCTTTGACAGCAATTGTTGTATCCTCCTGGAGTGGTTGAGTGGTAACGTTAACTCTAGCACATTAGCATTATGATATCGGTGCTCTAAAAACTGCTTCGTAATGAAGTAGCCGAAAAGTGAACAATTTAGTCTGCAAGCATCACAAAAAACGGGTCTAGCTTTACTGACCTAGAAATATTCCCAGTATAGGGACATGGTTATCTCACCCAAAACAGCTAGGTCTGTTGATCTGAGTGTACATGCATATGGTTTTGATGACGTGCATGTGTAGGTTATGTGAGTTTTTATGAGTCTGCATGGGTGTTAAAAAATCGGATGAATTCACAATGTAGTGGCTGTGTGTTGTATTACAGGAAATTATAGCATCTAGGCTTTGTATTGCAACTTTAAACAGATCTTTTTCACATTTCAGTCATTATTAGAGAACCAGAAACTACACGACGATCAGATTCATCAAGTTCTCAGGCTTGCTGGCTTCAGTAATTATCAGGGAAAAGACCGAAATAACATGTTGATGCAAGTATGGTACCTTTGCTATCATACTAGTCGAAATATTCAGTAATAATGTGTTCTGCTACACTTGTGCATAATATATTTTTGCTACCATTATAAAATGAATGATAAATTTGGTTATATGCCCTACACAGTGTTTCTCCTGCATTGACACAGGCGAGGCGGGCCGCCTCGCTTAAATTCTCTGCCGCCACGCGGAAATTTGTCCAAAAGGCCGTCTTGCTGACGAAATTAGTGTTAGTACTGTTACTACAATCAAGACTCACATACAGTGTTATAAATATCTGTTCAGAATAGCTCAGAATGCACCGAATTGCATCATTTTTTTTCAAAAATTGGACTCCACTAGCTGGGTGAGCGCCAAAGGCGCTCGCTTTGCTGGGACACTGAACGAGATATCAATAAAAATAAAATTTACTGCCTCGCAGACCTTTTTGGCCAGGGGAAACACTGCCCTACCTGTAAGTGATGTTTTGATCTAAATGTGATAAATTTTTTTGTAGAACTTGGCTGCTACATCTGTGTCAGCATACATGGTGGCAACTGCGCAGGCACTTGTAGAGGACAACAGGCTGCAATTAGACATGGCTGTCTTTGAGCACACAGTGGACAAGACCTGGACTGATCTTTTGCTCCAGTACATCAACAGTATTGTGCATATCGGTCTTACACACAGGTAACAGTAATCAACTAATCTGGTTTGCATGTAGTGAACTGTTATCATTCTCGTGAAACCACAACCATAAAATTGTTGACCACATCTGATACTACGTTGACAATATAAAATGCGAGGCCACAGATAAGAATTTACACAGAATTTTGGCTGTGTTGTTACCTGACAAGGTTGTGATGGCTAATGTTGTAGGAAACCCACATGAACACATTTTATAGCCAGAATATGGAATGGCAGCAAATGACATTTTCTTTCTTGAAGCTTGAAGTTTTCTTTATTTTATTTTATTAAAGGGAGAGTTTACTCTAGGTTCTAGGGTTATTTTCAGCTAATTTAGGTTATAATTACGCTACATAAAAAGTTTCATGGTTCAGTCACCATTAGAAATATTTTTTTTAAATGTTTTAAAACTAACGACTACCGTTTGATTGCAACGACGGTGGCGCCACTCAAAGCGCACGATTTGATAAGTTGCGC